GTCCCGCATCGGGCTCCCTGCTCGGCAGGGAGTCTGCTTCTCCCCCTGACCCTCCTCCCTCTCATGCTCTCTGTCTCTCATTCTCTCTCTCTCTCAAATAAATAAATAAAATCTTAAAAAAAAAAAAAGACAATTATAGGAAATTATCCAGAAAGCAACCGTTAAATTTTAAAAAATGTTGGGGCACCTGGGTGGCTCAGTCGTTGAGCATCTGCCTTCGGCTCGGGTCATGATCCCAGGATCCTGGGATCGAGCCCCGCATCGGGCTCCCTGCTCGGCAGGGAGTCTGCTTCTCCCTCTGACCCTCCCCCTCTCATGCTCTCTGTCTCCCCTTCTCTCAGATAAATGGATAAAACCTTTAAAAAAAAAAGAACAGCCAGGCCCGGACTCATGTGATGACTTCTGAGCTGGCCGTGCTGGGTCCCTCTGCTCACTCGTGCAAGGTATTTCCTGGCGAGGTGGGGGGAGGGGGGAGCGGCGAGGGGGGAGAAGGAGGGGACAGAGATTCGCCAGGACCAGGGCAGTCCCAGCCCCCGTCCTTGCTCCCGCTGCTCAGGTACCAGCCTGTGAAAGGCCCTGTGCCACCACAGTGAGGGGGTCTTCACTGGCGTCTGCGGTTACACAACATAGAGCGCGCGCCTCACTTTCCAGAGGCGCGGGGTCCCGGTCCAGGCGCGGCTCAGGTCCCGGTCCCCGGTGGCAGGCTGGCCCCTCCGCAGGCCCCCCCAGGGCTGCAGGCACCATCTTCCCGCCGCATCCTCGGGGGTCCTGCCCCGTGCGCATCTGCGTCCCACTCTGCTCTCCGCGGGGACTCAGTCCTGTGGGATGGGCCTGCCCAGGGGGCCCCGTGTCACCTGTCACCCTCCACACGCAGTCATATCCATGGAACGTGGGGTCGGGGCTCCCGCCGTGTGGGTTTGGAGGGCAGCTGAGCCCCGAGGGAGGGTGTGAGGTCACGGGGCAGGGTCGGCACGGAGGGCTCGGTGAGCGAAGTGGCCGTGGGAGCCGGGGTTCCCGGGTGCTGTCCCGTGGCACTTGGACACACATCCCAGCTCCTCCCGCCCTGCCGTACCTCGGTCTGGGGCTGGTCCCCGCGCCCAGGCCGTGTCCCCCAGGGGCTCCGCAGCCCTTCCCCGGGCCTCGACCCCACCCTGTGGGTCCTCGCAGCCACCTTGTGCGGGGCCACCGAGACTTCCCCAGTTTAACAAGAACCAAAGCAGAGCTACGTCCGCACAGAGCCTGGCACGCGAGGGTCTCTGCAGCGTCCTTCCCACAGCCGCAGAGTGCAAGCCCCCTGGTGTCCGTGGGCCAGACCAGGGCATGGATGCCCAGTAGGGGGCGCACCCACAGCGGGCGGGGCCGGTGTGACGCTCGCCGCGGGCTGCAGAGTCCACCAGCAGAGCAGGAACTGTCCAGAGCAGGCATGTCCGGGGATGGCGCGCGGACTGGGCACCAGGGCCTGGGCGAGGTGGAATGTTCCGGAACCGGATGGTGGCGATGGATGCTGACACCACGCGGCGTGTGCTCACCCCCAGGGAAGGAGTCGTCAGGGCAGCTCCAGGCCCCAGAGCGGGTGGGGGCGCCCCCGTGTGTCCCCGCCTTGTGACCCCTGCACTGGGGACCCCGCTGCGTGACCGGCACCTTGCAGAGCTGAAAAAAGCCAAGTTTCCGTGGGCGTCGTATGGCTTCCAGAAGGAAGAAGGGCTGCCGGCAAACCAGGACATGCTGCTGTAAGGTTGACACTTTGTTTCCAACTTACGGAAGGAAGACACAGATCTGCCCCATCCAATGACCGCGCGGGACAGGAAGAGCCTCAGGTGAACACCGTGCTGGCGGGGAGACGGGTCCGGCGGTGTCGTCCCGGGGCCAGGGGGACGGGTCCAGGGATGTCGTCCTGGGGCCAGGAGAGATGGGTCTGGGGGAGACAGGTCCGGGGGTGTCGTCCTGGGGCCAGGGTCCAGCGGTGTCGTCCTGGGGCCGGGGGGACGGGTCCAGGGGTGTCGTCCTGGGGCTGGGGGGACGAGTCTGGGGACATTGTCCTGGGGCTGGGGGATATGGGTCTGGGGGAGACGGGTCCGGCGGTGTCGTCCCGGGGCCA